AACCCACTCCCAAAAACCTTGCCTTGAAAACTGGAGAGGACACATCCAAAAAGCAGTCACTGCAGAGTCGGTAACGACTGAGTGCAGATTAAAAAAAAAAAAACTTGCTAGCATTTCATAAAGGATAGAAGATATATGTACATCAACTATTTTTTTGCTGGTTTTGTGACCAAACTGATTCTTCTTTATAATGCATCATACTATGTTTTGCAAGAGTAATCAACCACTTTGAGCTTTGTAGTAAAGTAGTATATAACTATTTAAACTACTTTCAATTGACAGAGAAAATAGTATAGGGCTGTGGGAAACTCTGATCATTTTATCACAGGCTTTCCAGTAGAAGGGCAGGATTAGAAAAATATAGTGTATTTGCTCCTACTGCATTTGTGCAATATTTTTTAGGCTGCAGACATTTAATCCAAGTTTCTTTGGATGGAGTGGGATTTAATTCTGAGCAAACATGGATAGGATGACATTTTAAACAGTGTATTAGTATATGAATGTCTGTTGCATTTAAGCTATTCAGTTAATATTGCAGTAATAATTATATTATCATACAATATGACATTATTGGAAGGAAAGAGAGGAAGAGGACGACTAGTAGCAGGGTGGATGGACTCAGTTACAATAGAGATGAATGCATCATTGGAAGACCTGAAGGACCAGGCTGGGGACAGATCATCATGAAAAAAGTCTATCCATTCAGTCTCCAATTAATGGTTGATCCATTCATCCATCATCTATCTATCTATCTATCTATCTATCTATCTATCTATCTATCTATCTATCTATCTATCTGATATTGCAAAGACCCCTAACACAAAGATCCAATTCCCTAGAGAAGGCTCTAATAGTGGGAAAGGTAGAAGGAAAAAGAAGAAGAGGACAATCAGCAGCAAGATGGATGGACTCGGTTACAGTGGTGATGAGTGCACCATTGGAAGACCTGAAAGATCAGGCTATGGACAGATCATCCTGGAGAAAATCTATCTCTGTGGTCGCTAAGAATCAACAACAACTTGATGGCACGCAGTCCATCAATCAATTGCACTATTGCACCATTACTGCAGTACTATTCTGAGATGAAAATAATAGCCGCTTAAAAGAAAGACAATCCACATACCGACGCCATTCATGACGGGTGACTCGTTATTAACCTCCAGTACTCCAGGCAAATTGGGTTCTCCTTCAGCTTCATTTAAATCTTCGTTTGCCTTTTGAGAGCCGTTCCCCAAATGAGCAGAATCCTTCTCGAAAGTGGCGTCTCCATTCTGCAAGCCATTGTGCGGCTTTTTCAGAGGCATGATCTGCAAGCCGCTGGGGGTAGTCCGGTACGATACCGTTTTGGCAGCTCTGTCGTTTGAAGATGCAGGTTTTGCTGCATAGCTCTTTTTTGGCTTTTGAAATGTTGGGGCCATACGCTTCCTTTTATGAGACAGCCCTTTGCTTTTCCCAGAGTCTGAGGGTCTGTGCGTTATTTTGTCAAGGGACGACCCCCTGCTTTCTCGTAAAAATTTGGGCACACTGGCTTGTTTTCCATGTTTAGCTCGCTTTTCTCTTGTGACGTGCAGCCCGTTGAATTCATCGATAAATTCCTCACAGTGCAATAAGTGATGTTCTGGTTCCCATGTATCTTCATTGCTTCCATACCCTTTCCACCGTATGAGATATTCCCATTTGCCCTTTTTATTCTTTCTTTTGTCTACAATCCTTTCAACCTAATAGGAAAACAGAGAAGAAGAAAAACTGTAATCGGCTATGAGGAAAATAATAACAGTGGGTAATCCCAGGCATGCTTACTTGGGAATTTAAGTGACATCAGTGGGGATTATTTCTGAGTAAATATGCATGTGAATACTGATGGATAATGCGAAGACCCAGCTCTCTAGAGAAGGCTCTAATAGTGGAACAACTCAGTTGATCAGCAAAGCCACTGTCTACTTAAAGAATGAAAAAAAATCCTCCAAAGAAATTGTCCAGGTAAGGATTTAAAATCTGGGAAGGAGAAGGGTATGTACATGAGTTGCCCTTGCAACATTCCTGGACACCTGGGTGCATGGTGATCCGTTCCTACCCCTGATGAAAACCAAGTGACAAAATGTTCATCATGACATTAAGAGGCAAACTCTGTCCTTCTGTATTGCATTGCAATGTTACAGGCAAGTACATAAGGGACACCGTTTGCATCACAGCATATTTTGCTACTTTCCTCCCCCTTGTTCCTCTGCAGATGTCTGTTCCTGAGTGCTTCTGCAATTTTCTGTGGATGGCTGAGATCTGCAGGGTTTCTTTTTAAAGCAAGCTTAATCAGCTGTGGACGGAAACCCTGTTTAGACTTTAGCATTCAACCTGAAAAATTCTGAACAAGCATCCTTGTACTGAGAGACATCCTTGGAGGTAGGACTTCCATTCATGTCCTTGCCCCAAGGCACATTTTCAACCTTTGCATGTACAAGCCTAAATCAATGCCTTCTATGCATTTCAGTTGATTAATTGATCTGCATTAATTTGCACATGAGAAGAAACAATGGGTTACATCCAGAGTGAATTCTGTTCTCACTCTTATCACTGGAAGTTCATTCAGTCATGGATAACCTGTCTCATTAATCTAACTGGGAGATATATTAACCATGCTAAACATGGATCCATCAGTACTGTAGTTGTAAATAGATAAAAAATCTGTTTTCTTTACTTTTAAAATATGCATAGTCATCTTAGAAGATGCATTCCCAGTTCATTCTCAGCACCAGAAGGAATGCCTCTTTTAACTGTCTAATGCTAGCTCACGTTAATCCCAAAGGCATACAAATTACATCCCAAAGGTGTACAAAGAAATAATAAAATGCTTATGTTAGTTTTCTGCAAGCTCATATTCCAGGTCAACTTAACTACGATGCAGTGTGAATTGCTAACTAGTGTAACCCCCGCCCCTCTGAATTTAGTCAGTGTTTTTATTCTTATGAGTTGGAAATCAGTTCTATCAATATTGCAATCAGTGGGGTAAGTAAAAATTGAAGCACAAAAGCGATTAATTGTTGCTTAAAATAGTTATATATAAGCTGCGTTTGTTCAACATGCTCAACCAGGCAGTTAAAGATCTAGAGACTGGCTCATGATAATAATACTAAACTGATGTTCAAGTTAATTCACTTTTTCTTAATGTTTCTACCACTTGGTTGCAGGTCTGCTTGTTTGCACTGCAGTTGCCCAGTTCATGTGGCAAAGCTATCAATGCATGGTGTGACGGGTGTTGCTATTCAGCCAGTTGTTGCAGAGCACAATCCTATTTAAGATGGACCTAGAGTGACTTGCCCAAGGTTACTTAGCCAGCTTCTGGGCCTAAGAGAAGACTTGGGTTTCCCCATTCCTAGTCCAGCAACCTCACCAGTGAACCACACTGGTCCTTGGAGTGGGAGAATGGGACTGGCCCAGAGTCCCCCAGGGACAATCTGTGGTTGAGGGGAGACTACAGGCTGACTCTCTCCTTGCTCTGAGTCCAGAATCTTACTCACCACACCATGCTGGCTCTCACGTTAATGTTAATTAACATTCATGCTAATATTAGATTTGGGAAGGGGACTTAGTAGCTTGGTGCACAAAAACTAATCTATTTGTTTAGTTTTTGATTTAATGTACTATATTGTGTAAACCTAGAAAATGGGTTAATTCAAGTAACCAAGGTGTGTTGTACAAAACCTCTTCATGTCTACAGATGCTTTACTGTGAAATTTGGAACACTTTCCTTTTTATTTTATTTATTAAATTTATACAGCTGCCCATCTCACGTACGTGATTCTGGGTGGCATACAATAACACAATCAAGTAAACAATGATAAAACAACAATATAATACAACAATTAAAAATAAAACAATTTTAAAAAGTGTAAAACACAGATATAAATGAGATCGCGGGAGAATGGACCTTTCCTTTCTATCATCACAAATGGTACAGAAGTCAATACATATCCCACAAATTTACAAAAATTCTTTATGAACCTGATTGCTTCATATACTTTCAACTTAGAACTTTACTTGTTCATCATAGCTATTTTTGGGTAGTGGTGGTAACATTTACTGTTCCAGCTTTTCTGGCAACATGTGATCCAACTGTGAGAATCCCCCACAGTGTTTTGTGGTAGCTTCTAAGAATGTTACAAATGATTAAAAATTAATGCCATTCAGTGAAGCTTAGCAGAGTGCTTAAGCATAATATTGTGCACTCTCAATTAAAAGTATGGAACTTGGCATGCTTAAACATGAATTTAAACATATAATGTGTATTTAAAACTTATATTTGTTTATGTGCTTCTTTACAGGGGTTTATATGTCACTGCAGTCCAGCAGCTTGAGTAGCTGACATTTCCTCCTTACAGTAAAAGGATTAAAATATAAAAACAGTACAAGAGAATAACACACACACAACAGGGATAAATAATAATAAAAGCCACTAAGAAAGAAACTAAGGTCACTCAGAACAGAAATTTCCAAATGCAACCCAGATTAGGGGTTCTAAATTAGACAAGGTACCCTCCCAGAACTTTCTCAAAAATCTTGTTTTAATGGCTCTCCTGAAGCACAATCGCTATTCTTTTCCTGAAATTTTGGAAACATTGATGTTTTGGAAATATGTTTGATATTTTTGGACTCCATCTGGAAATACACCAAATCAAAAAGTAAACTAACATGTAAAAGGCAGGCAAAGAAGCTTGCAATGGTCCAAAAGTTAATGAAAATGATAAAGTAATACAACCAGTCAGAAGAAGCTGAAACTGTTCATAAGGGATAATATTTGAGATTCAAAAAATGGGACTGATTAGGGATTTTATATTGCAAAGCTTGTATTCTAAGCCCTGTTCCTCCCCTTTCAGCTCTTTTATGAAAATGAGTGCCTTTTGTATGTTTTTGATACAGTGGAGGACAAAGACCAGAATACATGTTTTCAGTGTACAAACTTTCTGTCTTCTTCTCCTAAACATGCTAAAAGTGAGGTGCATGGCTTTCCTTAGAATTCAGCAATTTATAACGCCATTTGTAGTAATGGTTAAAATGTTCAACAAACTGTACAATTACTGTCTGAATCAACCACACTTTTCACTTTTATATATGAAGCATGCTTTGTCACCCATTCAATTTATTATTCATATGAATGTATGTGTGTGTGTGTGCGTGCAATTG